TGATAGTTGCCAGAAAGGTGAAATTTTTTCGTTCTTAGAAAAGCAATGGACTAAATCTCCACGCATCCTGTTCCCTATGTTTACATTGCAAGGTGGACACCTCTTTGTCACATCACTTTGTATGAGAATTCCAAGAGCAAGAGGATTTGGCAAGTTAGATGACAGCCTCTAATCAGTCAACCATCAGGAAAGAAAGGAACAAACAATATCTAATTATGCAGAATTGGTAAAGGAGCAAAATGTTTACAGATTCACCTGCCCCTTGGAAGATCCTTTATGTCATGCATGGAGGCCTTAGTTTGAGACTTCAAGAAGTTCCGTTATGATGACAAATCTTAGGATAATCCAAACCATAAGAAAATGTGGGGCTATCAAGAGTATAGGGTTCATCACAAAGATTCTGATCTCCAAGAAAGGAGGAATCTACCATCACAAGTTAATAAGGAAAGAAATCCATTAAAATCTTTACCTTTAAAAAGAACGATTTGAATATCTCTAAAAACATGGTTACAACTTCTTACAAATTCCTGAATTGGATAACTTGAGTCTCCGTCCAAAAATGAAGGGAACAACTTTCGAATATCCATTGAAGTGTATTTTTAACATTAGTTTGATTTTTTGTATTGCAAGTGTAGTATTCTCCCCACTTTTGTGACTTCCCAGATCAGCTAATCCAAAACCTACCTTCCATCTAGTCTCGGAAGAAAACTAACCAAACATACTGAGATGTATACATGTCTGCTCTCCACATCTCTTCCTCATTCTCCATCTCCACTTCTAGTAAATTCTCATTTCTAATAACAGAAGAGAAGGAAAGAAACAACAGCTACCAAACATTAACACAACTGTGAGTGAAGTTCAATCATAGTCTCCGCTTTTCGCAATGACATTAATTTATTAGATTAGTATAGTGTATCAAATCAGGTAGAAAGCACATTGACATTATCACGTGTTCAAATTACAAAGGCACAATTAGAAGAAGTCAAGCCTTTATCTCCACTTGTAGCTATAAAAACAGTAAGACTTTATTCCATTTCTCTTTTCAAGCTTAACCATTAAACATAACAGCAAGATATCAGAGAGTGAACCTAAACCTCAACACAGAGTATGTGAGACACCAAACCACCAGGCAATTTAGGACGAAGAAAAAGATTTTAGTCCTGAAAATGTTCCAGACTAGTAATGTTAAGAGTTGGTTGTCTTTTTCCAAGGTGAGTTATGATGACATACCTTTCCGTAAGCATTGCAGAACCCTCCTCAAACAATTCCTCCACAACCCCAACGGCAGAAAGTTTCGTTGCTTTGTTAACAGAAGTTTGAAATCTCTTTCCAAATATGAATGAACTGAGAAGATTTTGTTTCTTCCTTGGTGTCGGTGGCAAAATTGGTTGGTCAAAAGGGATAATATCAACAACAAGGCAAGTTGTATCATCCTTCAGGCCTCTTGACCTGAGAGCCTCCTAAACAATAAAACAGGCAAGAATTAATACAGAAATAGTAAAATTGGAAGCATAAAAAGGCAGACAAGAATAATGCTCATGTTAGGCATCACCTTAACAACCAGCTTTGCAGCGATTTCTGCAGGTAAACCCCTGCAGGATTGTGCTGCCATATCAGATGATAAGGCATCCCAGATACCATCAGATGCAATTATAAGCCTTCCTCCAGCGTTTGAAAGCTAGATGACCAAAAAAAAAATATTGTGAACTTCGGATTCTATTACCATAAAAGTCAAGAAACCATCATCAAGAGGACCAGATTTACACACCTTCACTTGCTTAACATGAGGTATAGGGACAATAAACTCCCCCACATCTGTGTCACCAATTGACCTAGAAAGGCACAATCCACCAGGCCAACATCGAAGAGGACCAACCTACGAACCAAACAAATAATCAGAAAAGTTCACATTTAGACTTCTTGACCTAGTATTACCACGAGGAAACAACAGATTTATTTATTTATTATTGTTTCACCTCATTGCCTCCAAAAACATTGAGCCTTCCTACTTCACCCCCACTGGCAGTGACACGCTCCCTCTCTTCTGCATTATCTTCCAGCCTATGGTCAATTGTCAACAGAGAAACCACACCCCCTTGTGTGTCCAATATGCATCGAGAATCCCCAACAGATGCAACAGTCACAGTCCACCCATCAATTACAACGAATGTAACTGTCGTCCCAGACGTCTCAATGGACTAAATCTCCACGCATCCTGTTCCCTATGTTTACATTGCAAGGTGGACACCTCTTTGTCACATCACTTTGTATGAGAATTCCAAGAGCAAGAGGATTTGGCAAGTTAGATGACAGCCTCTAATCAGTCAACCATCAGGAAAGAAAGGAACAAACAATATCTAATTATGCAGAATTGGTAAAGGAGCAAAATGTTTACAGATTCACCTGCCCCTTGGAAGATCCTTTATGTCATGCACGGAGGCCTTAGTTTGAGACTTCAAGAAGTTCCGTTATGATGACAAATCTTAGGATAATCCAAACCATAAGAAAATGTGGGGCTATCAAGAGTATAGGGTTCATCACAAAGATTCTGATCTCCAAGAAAGGAGGAATCTACCATCACAAGTTAATAAGGAAAGAAATCCATTAAAATCTTTACCTTTAAAAAGAACGATTTGAATATCTCTAAAAACATGGTTACAACTTCTTACAAATTCCTGAATTGGATAACTTGAGTCTCCGTCCAAAAATGAAGGGAACAACTTTCGAATATCCATTGAAGTGTATTTTTAACATTAGTTTGATTTTTTGTATTGCAAGTGTAGTATTCTCCCCACTTTTGTGACTTCCCAGATCAGCTAATCCAAAACCTACCTTCCATCTAGTCTCGAAAGAAAACTAACCAAACATACTGAGATGTATACATGTCTGCTCTCCACATCTCTTCCTCATTCTCCATCTCCACTTCTAGTAAATTCTCATTTCTAATAACAGAAGAGAAGGAAAGAAACAACAGCTACCAAACATTAACACAACTGTGAGTGAAGTTCAATCATAGTCTCCGCTTTTCGCAATGACATTAATTTATTAGATTAGTATAGTGTATCAAATCAGGTAGAAAGCACATTGACATTATCGCGTGTTCAAATTACAAAGGCACAATTAGAAGAAGTCAAGCCTTTATCTCCACTTGTAGCTATAAAAACAGTAAGACTTTATTCCATTTCTCTTTTCAAGCTTAACCATTAAACATAACAGCAAGATATCAGAGAGTGAACCTAAACCTCAACACAGAGTATGTGAGACACCAAACCACCAGGCAATTTAGGACGAAGAAAAAGATTTTAGTCCTGAAAATGTTCCAGACTAGTAATGTTAAGAGTTGGTTGTCTTTTTCCAAGGTGAGTTATGATGACATACCTTTCCGTAAGCATTGCAGAACCCTCCTCAAACAATTCCTCCACAACCCCAACGGCAGAAAGTTTCGTTGCTTTGTTAACAGAAGTTTGAAATCTCTTTCCAAATATGAATGAACTGAGAAGATTTTGTTTCTTCCTTGGTGTCGGTGGCAAAATTGGTTGGTCAAAAGGGATAATATCAACAACAAGGCAAGTTGTATCATCCTTCAGGCCTCTTGACCTGAGAGCCTCCTAAACAATAAAACAGGCAAGAATTAATACAGAAATAGTAAAATTGGAAGCATAAAAAGGCAGACAAGAATAATGCTCATGTTAGGCATCACCTTAACAACCAGCTTTGCAGCTATTTCTGCAGGTAAACCCCTGCAGGATTGTGCTGCCATATCAGATGATAAGGCATCCCAGATACCATCAGATGCAATTATAAGCCTTCCTCCAGCGTTTGAAAGCTAGATGACCAAAAAAAAATATTGTGAACTTCGGATTCTATTACCATAAAAGTCAAGAAACCATCATCAAGAGGACCAGATTTACACACCTTCACTTGCTTAACATGAGGTATAGGGACAATAAACTCCCCCACATCTGTGTCACCAATTGACCTAGAAAGGCACAATCCACCAGGCCAACATCGAAGAGGACCAACCTACGAACCAAACAAATAATCAGAAAAGTTCACATTTAGACTTCTTGACCTAGTATTACCACGAGGAAACAACAGATTTATTTATTTATTATTGTTTCACCTCATTGCCTCCAAAAACATTGAGCCTTCCTACTTCACCCCCACTGGCAGTGACACGCTCCCTCTCTTCTGCATTATCTTCCAGCCTATGGTCAATTGTCAACAGAGAAACCACACCCCCTTGTGTGTCCAATATGCATCGAGAATCCCCAACAGATGCAACAGTCACAGTCCACCCATCAATTACAACGAATGTAACTGTCGTCCCAGACGTCTCAATGGACTAAATCTCCACGCATCCTGTTCCCTATGTTTACATTGCAAGGTGGACACCTCTTTGTCACATCACTTTGTATGAGAATTCCAAGAGCAAGAGGATTTGGCAAGTTAGATGACAGCCTCTAATCAGTCAACCATCAGGAAAGAAAGGAACAAACAATATCTAATTATGCAGAATTGGTAAAGGAGCAAAATGTTTACAGATTCACCTGCCCCTTGGAAGATCCTTTATGTCATGCACGGAGGCCTTAGTTTGAGACTTCAAGAAGTTCCGTTATGATGACAAATCTTAGGATAATCCAAACCATAAGAAAATGTGGGGCTATCAAGAGCATAGGGTTCATCACAAAGATTCTGATCTCCAAGAAAGGAGGAATCTACCATCACAAGTTAATAAGGAAAGAAATCCATTAAAATCTTTACCTTTAAAAAGAACGCTTTGAATATCTCTAAAAACATGGTTACAACTTCTTACAAATTCCTGAATTGGATAACTTGAGTCTCCGTCCAAAAATGAAGGGAACAACTTTCGAATATCCATTGAAGTGTATTTTTAACATTAGTTTGATTTTTTGTATTGCAAGTGTAGTATTCTCCCCACTTTTGTGACTTCCCAGATCAGCTAATCCAAAACCTACCTTCCATCTAGTCTCGGAAGAAAACTAACCAAACATACTGAGATGTATACATGTCTGCTCTCCACATCTCTTCCTCATTCTCCATCTCCACTTCTAGTAAATTCTCATTTCTAATAACAGAAGAGAAGGAAAGAAACAACAGCTACCAAACATTAACACAACTGTGAGTGAAGTTCAATGTACAACAACAAAATATAAACATGTTGTCCACACCTTATTTCTGTCCAGTGTACTTGCCCTTCTTTTTGGAAATTGGGAGGCACGATAATGGGTAGTAAAACCAAAGACAAAAGATTTCATTTAGAAACAATCATTTTTACTTGCATACTCAAACTGTTAGCAGTCAGACTATCACAATATATGTATCAGATAGCATGTTTGTTCTGTGTCAGAAAGTCCAACAGCCGAGCACAAACCAGAATCAACACACTTTTACCAATCTTAAATACACCTAACCTTCCGAATCTCATACTACATTTCTTACACACATCTATAACAACGAGCGCCGCAAAAGAAAAAACAAGCATGCTCACACTGCCAGAAAAAAATGAATATTAATATTTACTGGTTTACCAGATTACGCGGTCACTGTTGGTCTAATGGCCCTCTTTCCTTCCATTGCATCTTTCTTTTTCCGACAGTTTGCGCAGAGGAACGGGCCTTCCCATGGCTTTGATGCAGGTGAGAAATACGGTCCAGAGTTAACAGATAAACCATCACTTGGGGTTTGATCTGCTTGGCAAATTGCACATCTGAGGAGTCCAGAGTTCGAGTTCAAAGGACAATTCTTACCCAGCCTGCATTTCCAGAAAGGATGGTCATAAATATAAAACAGCCCAAGATGACAAAACCTTGGAGCCCTCTTTCCTTCCTAGGGATCAGAAGTCGTGTAATCTTGTCAAGAATAGAGTGGCTAACAGAACATTTCAAGAGCAAGCAATAAAATCAGCATTAATCGGCACAACAAAGAGTATAATTTCAAACTATTTGTTGAGAAAAAGCGAAATACTAGCGATCATACACAGGAAGGGCTAATTGAACAACGATAACAGTAGGACTGCAATGAAGGAATCTCTTAAATTTCTGTTTATTCCTGCTTACTTGTCTAACTGATATCCATCTCCACATCATTATATATTAAAGTATTGTTCACTCAGAATGGTTATCGAGATCCCGGCATACAAGGGACCAAAAACAAGATTTTGAAAATATTCTCTTAAACCTAGTTGATTCGAATATGAATTTGAATAAAAGACAATCCAATACACAACTTCTGCTAAAGCAGGGACTGGGAAGGGCAGGGTGTACGCAGCCTTACCACCCTTTTTGAGACGTTTTTGTCACTCGAACACATGTCACTAGGAGTGTTAACAATTACCATAGTTAATGAATTGATAAATTTTTAATTTGTGAACTTCTTAGGCCTCAGGTCTATTCTCTGGGATAGTTCTGATAGTTGCCAGAAAGGTGAAATTTTTTCGTTCTTAGAAAAGCAATGGACTAAATCTCCACGCATCCTGTTCCCTATGTTTACATTGCAAGGTGGACACCTCTTTGTCACATCACTTTGTATGAGAATTCCAAGAGCAAGAGGATTTGGCAAGTTAGATGACAGCCTCTAATCAGTCAACCATCAGGAAAGAAAGGAACAAACAATATCTAATTATGCAGAATTGGTAAAGGAGCAAAATGTTTACAGATTCACCTGCCCCTTGGAAGATCCTTTATGTCATGCATGGAGGCCTTAGTTTGAGACTTCAAGAAGTTCCGTTATGATGACAAATCTTAGGATAATCCAAACCATAAGAAAATGTGGGGCTATCAAGAGTATAGGGTTCATCACAAAGATTCTGATCTCCAAGAAAGGAGGAATCTACCATCACAAGTTAATAAGGAAAGAAATCCATTAAAATCTTTACCTTTAAAAAGAACGCTTTGAATATCTCTAAAAACATGGTTACAACTTCTTACAAATTCCTGAATTGGATAACTTGAGTCTCCGTCCAAAAATGAAGGGAACAACTTTCGAATATCCATTGAAGTGTATTTTTAACATTAGTTTGATTTTTTGTATTGCAAGTGTAGTATTCTCCCCACTTTTGTGACTTCCCAGATCAGCTAATCCAAAACCTACCTTCCATCTAGTCTCGGAAGAAAACTAACCAAACATACTGAGATGTATACATGTCTGCTCTCCACATCTCTTCCTCATTCTCCATCTCCACTTCTAGTAAATTCTCATTTCTAATAACAGAAGAGAAGGAAAGAAACAACAGCTACCAAACATTAACACAACTGTGAGTGAAGTTCAATCATAGTCTCCGCTTTTCGCAATGACATTAATTTATTAGATTAGTATAGTGTATCAAATCAGGTAGAAAGCACATTGACATTATCGCGTGTTCAAATTACAAAGGCACAATTAGAAGAAGTCAAGCCTTTATCTCCACTTGTAGCTATAAAAACAGTGAGACTTTATTCCATTTCTCTTTTCAAGCTTAACCATTAAACATAACAGCAAGATATCAGAGAGTGAACCTAAACCTCAACACAGAGTATGTGAGACACCAAACCACCAGGCAATTTAGGACGAAGAAAAAGATTTTAGTCCTGAAAATGTTCCAGACTAGTAATGTTAAGAGTTGGTTGTCTTTTTCCAAGGTGAGTTATGGTGACATACCTTTCCGTAAGCATTGCAGAACCCTCCTCAAACAATTCCTCCACAACCCCAACGGCAGAAAGTTTCGTTGCTTTGTTGACAGAAGTTTGAAATCTCTTTCCAAAGATGAATGAACTGAGAAGATTTTGTTTCTTCCTTGGTGTCGGTGGCAAAATTGGTTGGTCAAAAGGGATAATATCAACAACAAGGCAAGTTGTATCATCCTTCAGGCCTCTTGACCTGAGAGCCTCCTAAACAATAAAACAGGCAAGAATTAATACAGAAATAGTAAAATTGGAAGCATAAAAAGGCAGACAAGAATAATGCTCATGTTAGGCATCACCTTAACAACCAGCTTTGCAGCTATTTCTGCAGGTAAACCCCTGCAGGATTGTGCTGCCATATCAGATGATAAGGCATCCCAGATACCATCAGATGCAATTATAAGCCTTCCTCCAGCGTTTGAAAGCTAGATGACCAAAAAAAAAATATTGTGAACTTCTCTTATTATTAAAAGCTGGAGAGGGATGATAGACTAAATATCTCTTGCATTAATTATAGTTATCAAATCAAATCCCATTAATTATGGTTCTCAAAATTTAATTTCATTAATTATGCTTGTTTATAGTTACAAAATAAAATTTCACTAACGGGTTTGGAATTTTTTAAGTTGGCCATCTCAACTTGAGAGAGCGTTTGGGTTCGATGGGCCTATTTTGGGGCTGACGTCGGTAATTTGAACCACTTACTTTTTAAGATTTGTTGAGTAAAATATTTATGTAAAAATAAGATGATCATATATCGATACCTATATGTTTCGATCATATTTGTATTACAAAAAATGGATAACTATTCTTGAAATTATAATTATGGCTTTTTTTTTTAAAAAAAAAATGTGATTCAAACAAATAGCTACCAATATTCGATCATTTTAATTTTTTGTATGAATATTCTACTCAACGAGTCCTAAAAGTGAACGGTTCAGATCACTAAGGTCTGCCTCAAAATGAGCCTATCATGCCTAAACGCTCTCTCAAGTTGGACGGCCAACTTGAGAAAATTAAAACCCTATTTTGGGAAGATGAAAATAAGCAACTTTTTTTGGCTTATTTTCTTACATTTTGACTTATTGACAAATTCATTTGGGAAGTACTAAACAAGCAGTTTTTCTATTATTTTTTTTTCTTCAAAATTATTATAACATGGTCTCACATCACTTGTAAAAATGTAAATGGACCATATTACTCTCATTACCCTAGTCAAAATCCATACACACACGAGTGTATTTTGATAATTTCACTTATTAGCTTATTTCCAACTTTTCACATACTTTTTTTGCTCAAATAAACTGGTTTTTGGCCTTTTGAAATTAAGTCAAAAACTGGCTTTTATCTTTCTTCCCAATTGAAGTTATGATTATTTATGGTTATAAATAAAAATGATATACATACATATTATAATAGTGTGAATTTCAAAATAATTGTGAAAATTATAAGTGTGAATATAATAGTGTGAATTTTATGAAAATGTAAATACTCACACTTTCAACAAATTATAAAATAATATGAATTTTTAAAAAGTGTGAATATTTTTTGGGCGGTGGTATCATATGCACCAATTAGTGTACTAAGTAGTGTACCAATATTAGTTATGACATTATTATTAACCCAATTCATTATACAAACTATAAATTCCAAAAACATCTTAAATTATGATACATCGTCAATTGGTACATTAGTTAGTACACTAATTAATACATATAGCATTATTCATATTTTTTACAAAGCATAAATATTTACACTTTCAAAATTTCAAAATTTTATTAATCAAAGTATGAATATTTACATTTATAATTTTCACATTTACTAGAAAATTCACGCAAATATATATATACTTTATATATGTGAAAGCTGGAATTGGTATTAATGCCACAAAATTCTTGTTTGTGAAAATACTCGCAAGAGCAATTACCTGCTTCTATAACTGCACATTTATAATTCTGTAGTTAAACATTCATATGGGTGTGTATATCTTCTAGTCTCATGAAAAAGCGTTTTTCAAAAGTGTGAAATTTTAGAAGTTGATAAATTTTACACTTCCATATAAAAATAAAGTAATTTTTTACTTTTTTTTCATTTTATGTAATTTTATATTCAATTACGATCTTATTTAATAAATCTCATTTAGAAATTTTTAAAATTTTAAATTTTATCTATACCCAATGTGCATTTTGAAAGTTATGAAACTTCTAAAGTTTTTCACAATAATAAAAAAAAACAGAAAAAAAAAACCCTGCTATATAAACATGTTGACCAAAAAATGGGTAAAATTGTCATGAAAAAATATCTAATTTCAAAAATAGATTATCAAAATATAATTCTAAACATATAAGATTTATTAGATCACAAATATTCTAGGTGAAATAACAAATCAGTGTATATTTTGAAAAATAATTTTATATTAATGATAAACTTCACAAACTTTAATTATTAAGAGCCTAAATTTTTTCATGTATATGTAGTTATTTTTTGAAAGTACAATTGATTTGTAATTTCTCTAATATTTTATAGAAATTATGACTAAACAAGTTGTTAAAAAAGAATTGAATAGTAATTTTCTCTTAATTTTATTAACTTATATGTTTTGGCAACTTGCTAAAATAGTCAAAAAGTCAAAATATTACTACAAAAGTCAATTATTTTTTTTTATATATCTTTTTGTAAAATGTCAATTAAAATTGTTAGTTTCTAAAAAGGTAAAACTTCAATAAATCTCAAAATGTGATTGTGTGAATTGTATAGTCCTTCATTTTTTTTTTATTTATTTATTTATTTTATTATGAACCCAAATGTATCATTAAAGCGGGAATTATACAAAATGGTAGTCACTTACACATTTAAGTTTAATTTTTTAGGGATAAAAGTGAATTTCTCCAAATGTGAAATTTTGCATTTGGATAATTCGCACTATACAGGCTTTGGATTTTCTCTCATTCTGAAACAAATCACACATTACCAATAAAAACGTAACACTCTAATATAATACACTAAAAAGCTCCTTAGTATATTTTTTTCAAACGTAACACTCCAAATGTAACAAACAAAAAAATTCTTAGTATATTTTTCTCAAATGTAACACTGCAATCAATGTAATCCAAACGTAACACTCTAATGTAACACACACAAAAACACTAAAAGACTCATTAGTATATTTTTTCCAAACATAATACTCACAATTTGAAATTATACATATGTCCAAAGCTTACTAAAGAAATTTTGTATTTCTTTTGGAATGGTTTGAAGAATCTCACATCCTTTTAAAGTGGTTTGAAGAGTCCCACATCCCTTTTTGGAGTATTACATTCGAGTATTACGTTTAGAAAAAATACACTAAGGAATTTTCTTGTGTGTTACATTGAAGTATTACAATAAAGAGTTTTTTTAAAGTGTTATATTGATGTATTACATTTGAGTGTTATATTAGAGTGTTACAGTTTGAAGTTATATATTTGTCCAAAAATTACTAAAGAGTTTTTGTACTTATTTTGAAATATTTGAAGAATCCCACATCTTTTTAAAATGTTTGAAGAATCTCATATTTCACGTCATTTTTGAACTCCTTTGAAATGTTTTCTAAATAAATAAAAAATTCTCATATAAAAATTAATTTCAAATTTGATTATCATAGATTATGTATTTTACCTTTTTAACACAAAAGGAAAATAAATAAATACATACATATATATATATATAATAGAAACATGAGTATAATCATAAATTTAATTTTTAAATAATATATTAAATTTATCTTTCTAAAATTAACAAAATTATTTAGTTTATAAAAAAATTCTTAAAACTAAACGGATCACTATTTTTAAAGATAGAATTTATAGTTAAATTTTCCTCCCAAAAATAACATTTTAATGAGAAAGTAATTAGCAATGAATTGAATCCATGGTCTAATAACAATAAGTGGTTTTATTTTTGTCGGTGATAAAAAAAACAAAAAAAGGTTTATTTTTGTCATTTACTACTTGAACAACGAATGCGATACAACTCATGGGCAGCACATTGCCTTTTTACGCAAAGAGACACTCGTATCTTCAAAACCCACGAGGCTGTGACCCTTCTGTAAGATTTTGGGATATAAAACTTGAGATTTTAGGTTCTATATTTTTCGGGTTCAATTATTCGGGATATGGTGCAATGATTCTAGAACAATTCTTAGGTCATGTTTGTTTGGCCGGATTGGATTAGCATTCCTATGACTAATAGTCCTAGGACTACCAATCCGTTAGATTATGTATCCTATCTTAACTAATAGTCAAGTTTAAAATAATTAATCCGTACTTCAATTGTTTAACCAAACATCGGATTAATAATTTTATTAGACTATTAGTCCAATCCCAAGCTCATGTCCATCCAAACAAACATGACCTAAATGTTGGACGAACCATATTCAGGAGGACTTGAGTGTGGGATTGAATCCTAACAATTGTATTCTCTGACTTAAATAGTATGTGTATTATGGAGCTAGTGCACATACTTGAAATTTACCCTTTGTCCTATTTCGATTAAACCAAAATTAGATATTTGATTCCAAAAGCGGCAAAAAACAAACTTAGGGAATTTACTCATTAACCAAAAAAAAAAGAGTATCTTCAATGTTTTACTAAATTTGAGTAATAAAAACCTTAATTTGATATTGTTCACTACAATGTTGAATTAGAATTTTTCCCGATTGTTTGGGAGGATGGCTAGACGGGTGTCTTGGAGGTCGTCGGACATAAATAAAAAAGGCTGTTAAAGTTGCTCTTAAGTAGACATCTGAGTGGACATTTAGAAGGATGTCTAGCCAAACGGTAATAATAAAATATGAAAGACTCCTTTTATTTAATGAAACTTTTGGTTCATCACTTATTTAATATGAGTTTGATGAAAGGGTTAGAAGTTAAACCATTGTCGTTTTTTATCAAATTTAAATTTAATGAAATATTAGATGCAGCGTTGGAGATGGTCTAAGGAAGTAAATATTTGATGGAACAATGATGCTACATAGCAGTATTATCATTTAATAAATAATTTTGGTTTGTCGTAAGAATCACAATAATAATGAGTTAATGAGAGATAAGACTTATCCACTTGGTCATTTAAAACTTTTTATTAATCGGTAACAGTATCTAAAATAGTGTCACCGTTACACTAAATATTTTTTCATGATAAATACTGTTTTTGAGAAAGATTAAAAGCATTTATATTAAGATAAAAACAAATAACATATAGAGTAAAATAATAACAACAAGAGCCTAAGAGGCCAAAGAAACAACCAAGCAACAAACAACAAAAATAAATTCATCAAAAAATCAGTTAAGATTTAGGAAAAATCACCAATCTTCTCATAAATGTGGTTTGGAAAGGTAGATCTGTATCAACCCAACCAAGATTTGCATCAACACCCACCATCACCGTTGTTACTGTCCAACTCCGCCACCGCCGCATCCGTACTTTGGATATCGCCAAAAGATAGAGTTGAAGAGAAAGAACACCCATAAAGGTATGCGAGAAGACTTGAGAGAAGAGGGAACCATTGTGAATGTCGAAAAAAAAAAATCTATGCTGAAATAAAAAGCTCAAATCTACAGTCTAGAAGTGCAAATCTATACTCTAGGAGTGTAGATCTATATTTTAGAAGTGCAAGTAACCTTTGTGTTTATGATTTTTTTATGAAAAATTTACCCAAATATCCTATTCCAAAAAAATATGCATCAGAAAGTCTAATAAATTTTTTTTTTGTAAACTATTAAGTCCTATTGAATTTGAAAATGCATATTGTGAGGTCCTTTAACTATATTTTTGGATATTCCAAATGTGAGTATATTTCATTTATGCACTATTGTCTTATTAAATATTTGTTAAATGTGTCGCTCATCTTAAAATGTGACGATGAGATATCATTCTAATGTTTGTACTATTGTCTTATTAAACTTTTGTTAAATGTATAATTCTTAAAATGTGACAATATAAAACATCAGTCTAATGTGTATACGAATGTCTTATTATTTGTTGAATGTGTCATTCTTCTTAAAGTGTGACAATGTGACATTTGTGCACTATTGTCTTATTAAACTTTTGTTAAATGTGTCATTCTTAAAGTGTGACAATAGAATATGATTCTAATGTGTTTGTTATTGCCTTACTACCTTTTCAAACGTGAGTATGCTTAATTTCGAGATTTTGATGTGAGAAATGACTTATGTGGGTTCATAAGATTATTTATGAGACTACGATCCATGTGGAGGGGGCGCGTTGCGTGAGTCTCGGGATTAGTTGAGATACGCATAAGCTAATTCGGACACTTGTCATAAAAAATAAAATATATATTTATGGAACTAAATGGTCTATAAGTTATGGACATAAGATTTATTAATAAATGCCCCTTTATTTTTTTTCAAATCAGACGGACCTTTAAAGTTATATTAGAAAATATTTTTAAGATGACTTTGCATCTCTAATTCACTTTTTATAATTTTTACTTCTTTAGTAGAAATTTCACTTTTTTAATAATTTCACCTAAATATTAAGGTTGAATTTCACTATTCGAAGAGAATGAGATTTCACTAGTTGAAATGATGGTATGTTTTATGATAACGATGACAATGATAATGAAGGTGGTGGTAATAACAATTGTGGCTTCATAGCGGTGGTGGTTGTGGTGACAGTGATAGTGATAGTAATGATGGTTGTGGCAATATTAGTGATGATTGTAGTGATTGTGAGGTTATAATTGACGAAGACTTAACACTGCAGTCCAAGCAGTTCAAGGCTGCTGCTACTGAGTCCAAGGCTGCAGGTACTACAACAGATCAATTAGACTGCAACAGAGCACACAGTGCAAAAGAAGTGCAAGAGCAGCAGTCACGAAAGCTGACCAAGGGCAGACTTATATGAAGGTGTATCACAAGCCATGGGCTGTGTAACATCTAAGCAGTTCACTTGTATTATATGCAGTTATTGTGTTTGAAAGATTAGTTAGTTTGTCAGATGGTTAGTTACAGATCTGTGAATTTATATAATGTAATAGTTAGGTCAATAAATGAATAAGATTCAGTCTTTCTTCATGGTGTATGACGATACTTGTGTATAAATATTTATAAATTCAATTAGCATTAAATAATTATGTAATTTTATGTAAGAAATTCGTCATAATTTAAATGACTTTTATCCTACAAACTCAATTATTGCTTTTATTATTTCATGAAGCAGCATCATCCAAGCTCTCCTGAGTGCTCCAAATCCAGACGATCCTCTTTCTGAGAATATTGCAAAACATTGGAAGTCCAATGAAGCTGGAGCTGTTGAAACAGGTAATAATGCCCCCCATTCTTGTACTTGAGTTGTTGATTTTAATAGAGATGTTGGTCATCTTTTTAATATAGTGGCATCATATGGAGTAAAGCTTTCTTTTCCTCTCATAAAAAGGTTGGTAGAAATTTACCCATCTCACTTGTATAATTCTGATTTTGTGATGTTCCTCTTTACAAGATATGGCAGGTATATTATTTTATTATTATTATTATTATTATTATTTTTTAATTGGACTTGTGCAGCAATGGACCCGTTCATATGCAACTGGTGCATGACGATGGGAGTTTATTATTTGCACATATCATTTCTCCAACAATTGTGATAAAGATCCTATACATATATAATCCTTACAGTTCACTCTCATTCCAACAGTTCATAATGTGAGATTCATTTATACATGAGTAGATTTCACACACTTGTCAAAAACTAAAATTAAATTGAGACTCATGAAATTTTAAAAAATGAGTCCCAAACATTTTTCTTTCTCCAATGTATGTTAAATGATTGGTTGCCTTCTGTCATTTACTCATTCGAGAAGAATGAAAATTGTCTGTCACAATCAAGATGTAATTGTCACAAGTCCCCAAGTACTTGTGTTGAATTTCATATACTTTCTTGGTGCATGCTTTTTAATCTCCTTCTAGAGGAGATCAGAATCAGAAGATAGTGGAAATTAGTACGGTATAAAATACTGTATACTTTATTAAAATAAAGTATCGACTCATATCATTTTATATGATTCTTTTCGTTAATTATGGTTTAAATTTTAAAATTTAAAATTCGTCTTTGAAATCGTTTCATTTCAGTTACTACATATATATTTTTTAACTTATAATAAAATATCAAAATAAAAATGATTAAGAGAGATTTAATATGTGAAATTTATTACAAATTAATAGTTATATATATGAAAAATGTTATGTAAATTAATATTATATATTATTCAAAAACTTGATAATTTGTTAAAATATTCTTCAATATCTTAATCCACTCAAAATTGCTCAAATTATAATTTGTCAATTCGCTAATCTGCCATTTAATTTATAATTTCTCTCAAATCATTCAAATCGCACAATCCACACCCGTATTGGGAACAAATTCTACCTATTTAGGAAATTAAACCCCTGATTATTAAAAATACCCTTTTTTATTTAAAAAAAAATTATTGCTTTGGCAATTACATTTTTAATGTAATTTTGAAGACAGATTAACAAAAGTGTCCTAATTATTTAAATAACTTTAAAAATAGAATGTTTTTTTTTTAAAAAAAAATTATTTTGGACAATAAAATAAATAAATAAATAAAAGGGTCAAAGCCTATCTATCTTTTCATCTCTCTTGTTCACTATCCTCAAAACAGGAAAGATGAACCCAAAAATCATTATTTAGTATAAAAATAAATAAATTTTTTTTTTAAAAAAAAAATAGCTAACCACAAAATAAAAAATAAAAAATCACAACTATTTCACACACGAATACAGATGCTTAAATAAATAAAAACTATAACTAAGTCCCAAAAAAGTGTATTTAACATTCAAATGAAAATTAGGACCAATTATTATTTATTAAACTAGTCTAAACCAATTATGCTGTGCTCTCGTATCAAAATCCCTTTTGAATTTCAATACAAATAATGTATATCAAGCCAAACAAGCAGGCATAAGTCCTCCTTGCACTGATCCATTCTATTGGCCCAGCTCAGCACAATTTACTGGAGATGCTTAATTTTTTATTTTTATTATTATTATTATTATTTAGTTTAGAAAGAGAAATGTTTTGTATCAACTTTTTTTATTACTATTTTGTATCAACGTTTACATAATTGATTAAAGAAAAATGCTTGAGAGCACTAAAAACTGAAATCTCGCTCACCTCACGCACTCTCAATAATAGTCTGTCTAAAACACCAACCATTGCAGTTTCTATCTATACAATTCGTCCAGTTGATTACCTCTCTCTCTCTCTCTCTCTCTCTCTCTCTAATACGGTGCAATGGGGAGAAAAGTCGAAGAGTACTCACTACAGTCACCGCCGGTAGCACCAAAATCATCGTCGTTGAAGTCAGTTGTCCTCGTCCTCTCAGTCTCAGTGATCAAATTTGAGCCTCCAAAGTAGCCGCAACCGTGAGCTGCGGCTGCGGCTGCTGTGGCTGTGTCAGCGCTGTCACCCCCGGCGGCTCCCAGTGTCAAAAACTTGCGCCGCTTCCTGGACCTCGTCTTCTGTTTAAGCTTCGGTTTCGATGACTCAGCTTCAGCATCGGTGTTGTGTACGACCAGGTCGTAGTTCACCGAATTTAGGGTTTGGATGGAAGTGACGCAGCATTCTTGCCATTTGAGGTCCGCCAGGTCTTTGATCGCCTCCTCCAGAGTCATATGCGCGCCTGAAGACACGTTTTCTTCGTTTAGTGTTGAGCGACTCGGATCCATCAGCTCCATTGAGTTCACTGCATCGATCAGAACTTTCTGCGATTTCCATAACACAACAAAATTGCCAAAATTCAAAGCTGGATATTGGACTCACAAAGGAAGATAAACGTTCCAATTAATTCCTTGTTTCTCTCACCTTTGCAGTGTTGTGGATTTTCTTGAATCCGTGCATGTCGATGATCTGTGAACACAACACACAGCATCATATATCAAAATCAAAATCAATAATAAAAGAAACCCCAAGTATTGAGCAGAAATGCAATTACAACTAGTTGTACAATGTCTGAATCGCTTCCTGAGAATGAAATTGAAACTCCGCGATTGATGAGAAGTCGAAGCTACAACTAAAATTAGTCCAAATTTAGAAATTTGTGAACAATTTCCCCAAACCAAACCTTGAATCCATGGTGATATATACATGTTTGTGTGTGTCTGTATATATATATATATAGAGAGAGAGAGAGAGAGAGAGAGAGAGAGACCTGATTGAGAAGGTTAACGGTGAGATGCTGTTGCTTGTCAGTGGCGATGAGAGAAAGAT